AAGTGGAAAAAAGCGAAATGGTCAGAGACACCGCCCCGGGCAGCCCCTTAGGCGATCGTCGCTTCAACTTCCCGCGACCAGGGGCAAAGGGGCATGGTGTGAGGAGCAACCATAGACCGCTCTGATCGCTTATCAGGGCCTTAGCGGTCCGCGACCGCTCAATGATCACGAAACGAGTCAGTTAGACGCGAGAACCCAAAGCTTGCTTCATCTTCTCCCTCCAAGCTTTCTTCTTCCTCTCTTTGGGCATAGTAACCTCTTTAAATTCCTGCTTAACATCATCACAAGAAACACAAGTAATAGTGGGGTTCGCCTTGAGAGGCTCTCCTCCACTCACATTCAAATCACCCGACACCAATTCCTTCACATCCTCACCATCCCTCATAATCAAGGTCCCCTCATTAACATCAATTAACGCCTTGGTGGTGGAAAGGATGTGACTTCCTAGTATGAGTGGCATATCCGAGTCCTCATTTATATCAAGGATCACAAAATCCGTCGAATAGCAAAACTTGCCCACTCGTACTAGCATGACCTCCACAATGCCCCTAGGCTCAATGCCCCTAAGCTTAGTGGTCTTGAATTCACCTAGGTCTAGCCTTTTGAAAAACTTATAGGGTATCACATTCACACTTGTTCATAAATCCGCCAAGGCATTTTCTATGTGATGGTTCCAATGCTAAGAGGGATAGTGAAGCTACTTGGATCGGGTTGCTTCTTTGTCAACCAGTTGAGGATGAAGGCCGAGCACTCCTCGCCTAGAGGCACATTGGCGAGGTCTTCAAACTTTGGTTTCTTGGCGAGGATTCCTTTGAGGTACTTTGCGTACCTTGGCATGTGAGCCATAACTTCGAGGAAGGGGATGTTGAGGTTGAGATTTCGGAGCATCTCCATGAAGCCCCCACATTCCGCTTCCAACCTCTCCTTGAACACCGCAAGACATAACCGCCCTCTTCCCATGCTTCCTATCCTCGAGAATTACCTCGATCAACTTATCAAGTTTTGCCTCAAGTGGAGCACTCGCTCCCACACTCCTTACTCCTCTTTCATTGCTTCTCTTCCCTCTTCTCGTCAAACCCCAATCATAACCTTTGAGGGCCATATCTTCTAGCAATTGGGTCACTTGTGGTGGGGTCATATTCATTACCCTCCCTTGACAAAGAGAATCAATGAGGATCTTGTCTTCATGTATGAGCTCTCCGTAGAAAGTTTCAATCCAGAAATGTTCTTCGAACCCATGGCGAGGGCTTTGAAGAAAATAATCGGAGAATCTCTCCCATGCATCCCTCAAGGTTTCATCTTCATCTTGCTCGAAATGGGAGATCTTCTTTCACCACTCGGTCGTCTTCGAAGGCGGGAAATAGCGGTTCATGAATTTGTTTGGAAGATCATCCCACGAGGTAATTGAACGAGGCGGCCGGTGGTTGAGCCATCGAAGTGCCTTCCCCGCAAATGAGTAAGGGAAAAGCCTTAGTTGTAAAGCTTCCACCGGCACGCCATAAATCTTCAAACTCCCCGTGAGCTCAAGAAATTGTTGCATGTGCTTCCTCGGTGATTCACTTGTGAGCCCATGGAACAAAGCATTGTTCTAAATCATTGTCACGATGGACGACTTGATTTCAAAGTTGTTGGCTGCCACGGGAGGGTGTAGGATAGGCGATTGAATGTCTGCCGACCGCGGGGCCATGTAATACCCCATTGTCCTCGGGGCTTCCTCCTCGACCTCCACCTCATTGTGGTTGTGAGCTTGGGCGGCGACTTCTTCTCTTTGGTTCTCTTCCATTTCAACTCCAATATCAACTTCTCCTTGAACTCCTTCAACTTCTACTCCACTAACTCCGGGACACAATTGTTTTCCCCTCTCTTCACTTCTCCTCCTTGCTTCCGCTAAATCCCTCTCCCGAGCTAGGAGTCGGAGAGTCCGGTTGATGTTCTCGTCAAGCGGTACTAAGGGCGCCGGATTGCTCTCGGTCATGCACCCCCCTGCACATACTTAGAGAACAAAACCACGTCTAGCACAAGCAAAGTACTCAAACAAACAAAGCTAAAAATTAAAAGCTAGATAACACGAAACAACTTTTTCAAGATAACAGACCGAAGGTCCTCGACAATGGCCCCAAAAACTTGAGTCGTCCCGAATATCACAATAAATTCCCACCTAAGGCCCAAGTATAAACCTTAGATGGGTGCAATATAGGGCAAGTATGTTTAAATATCAACTCGGGCCGATCCGTGTACCCCTATTTCCATTGTCTGAAGCATTATCTAGCGAACTGGTTTTTGGTTGAAAACTATGAGATTTAAATCAAAACAAAGCAAAGGTAAATGGTTTGAAAGCTCTAGATGAGAAGGATCACTCGGGTGTCGCTTCCCCCAAACTAATACCATGGCACGTTGACTCGAATGGGACGTTATGGGCAAGGCAATCATGAATCGCTAGGAGGTGCAACTATGGCCGAAGAACACACTCTCAATTGACAAATAAAGGGATACATTATAGGCTACAAGAGTAGCCCTCTTGGTTAAGGAAATTAAGGGTTGACTTACCTTTTCCCTCAAACCGATGGTTGGACGGCTTAATCATGATTAACCTAGTTGCTTAATTCAAGATAGAGGTTTGCCCTACATTAACCTAGGTAGGTGGCTTGTCAAGCCCAAGGAATCCCAACTCAATTGAGCCTCTTTTGGAAAAGGGGTTCCCCTCTAACCTAGGTTAGAATGGCCAAATAGATTGCTAAGCACACACATGCACAATCATCATGAAAAAATACCTACAACTACATGGCAAATAGTTAGGGTTTCACAAAACCCAAGGGAAAAAGAGTACTACTCCATGCTAGAAAGGGGAAGAACACAAGAGAAAGAGGTAGAAACCAACATGGTGATGCCTCCAATCTCCTCTAAGCTTGTGTTGATCTTCTCTTGGGGAAATTCTTCCCAATTCACCACTTGGAGCAAACCCTCGCCTTCCTTCTTTCTTGGTTCGTCCTTTCTCCCTCTAAAATATGAAGAAGAAGACACTCTCTCAATCTTGGGGTCTCCCCTTCTCTCTTCTTTTCAGCTCACATTTTATACTGGATCGGACTCAGTTCACGGCCGTGAACTCTTCAATGCGTCCGTGAACACAGAGCGTTGTGTCGAAATGCACCGCTTCACCATCAGGAGTTCACGGTTTGCCCTCAATGTTCACGGTCTCGTTGACCGTGAACTAGCATTGCGCCAGTAACTGCAGATTCCTTCCTGGATGCCTCGCGGTTCACGGTTTTGGGCTTCAGTTCACGGCGATAGGAGACCGTGAACTCCAATAATAACCCATGAACCTCGCCTAAATCATCCTCTTTGCCTCTTTTCGTCCATCATTCGACTCCGACGCTGGTTTCGCCTGTTGGATCCTAAAACACACTAAAACGCACAAAACCTAGCGTAAAACCATCCTTTTAGGAGTTCAAATGCTATAAACGCCCAAGGGAAACGAGCATAAAATATGTGCAATTAGGACCGAATCAGTGACTCCTTGATCACTATTATGCCTAACTGTAGGGATGGAGTTGACGCAACCCTTGTAATCAATATAGAAAGGGAGTTAGAATTCACGTCTATGGAAGTTGACGAGGCCATGAGGGGAACTCCCTATCACGTGAAAGCAATAGAGAATTGGAGAAATTGGTGCACAACCTCAAAGCTTGTGTGTAGGAGCCACCTATCATAGCTCAACAAAACTATCCTAGCCTTTCCCTCAAGTTACCTCCGCCCAAAAATTTGGGAGGAGAATGGCCATGGGAGCGTCATTGGTCGTATGACTAAAATACAATTCTCCTGACCACGCTCAAAGACATAAAAGAGAAGGCTCTACATGGGAGACAATCCGTATTTTGTCTAACCAAAATTCAATAAACCAAAATACTACCAGAAGATAGCCCGGATATGCATTTAATTCACATGCATAGCTTCGAGATTTGTCCTATAATGAATAAAGTTGGTTGGCTCTAACTTATTGGACACACCTCGTCATTCAAGCTTCATGGAATGACATAAGGATGACATCACGCACACATTTTCTCTGCATCTTTAAGGTATTCCCAAGCCCTTGTTATCGATTCTTGCACTTTTCAATGAATGCATGCTTGGGTAGCTTTAGGAACGGTTGCAACCTTGCCAAAAAGAACTACGCCACCCATCCGCCGATCCTGGCGCTTTTCTATCGATTAGATATCAACTTTAGGATCTGGTTCTTTGCTTCCATTTTTCACATATCCCCCTTCCACCACCACAAAAAAAAGGTCTATGGCAAGGGTTATTTTCATCCGTAGCTAGGGTTCTAACCCCTGCTACAAGATGTAGCAAGGGTTCATACAACCCTTGGTTGGACCCTTGGCAAAGTCGCCCCTGCTACGTGTAGCAAGGATTATAAGCGACCCTTGGTGCAAGTTCTTTGCAGCGGGTATAGCAATGGTTTAAACCCTTGGTATTTGTCTTGGTAAAATTCAAGTACCAGTCCCTCGTAGCATGGGTTTAAAACCCTTGGAAGATTCGTTCCTACACCTAATAAGGGTTTGAACCCTTGCTACACGCCTATGCAAATTTATATAAATAGGGAATAGTAACAAGGGTTAAAACCCTTGCACAGTTTGTGGCTAAAGCTGGGAAACATTTGTGTCAAAATCAAAACGGTGGCTAATGTCGTTACTAAAGCTAAGCAACATATTTTGTAACAACAACTTGGTTGCTAATACCCTGATCATTAAAAATAAATCCATATTCATTACTAAAATTCATAACATACCATATTACACTTCATATCCTGAATCACAACATAATATGATTCATCATCCAAAATGGTGTTCTTTACATGACTATATACTAGTCAACATAAACATTCAAACATAATCAAAGGGGAAATATTATGTTCATGATATTTTGAGTACTCAAAAGAAACCGATTAAAGCTACATGAGTCGATCATTTCCAAAATGCTTCATATAAAACATGTACAACATCTGATCACGACGCTCGAGAACCCATTGATGGAGCAGCTTCACTAGTGGCACCCTGTTAACAAAATAAAATAATTGTCAACACTAATTCAAGAGCTAATTGGCCTAAGAAAACAAGCAAGAAGCTATTAACTCTCACCTGTGAAAATGGCATATCGAACTCTAGTTATTGTTTATGAAACAAAGAGGGGATGTCATGGCTGCGTCTACAGTCTTTGGAAACCCTATTCTATCTATCAATATCTTGCAATCTGCTGAGGTGATTTTCCCAGCCACTAGGAGTATACCTAGATACCTCACTAGCAGATGTCCCTCCTGGAAACCAGACTGCCCTATGAAATGGCATATCGAACTATAGCTAAAGATTCACTATGCATCAAAGAGACTAGTTTCTTTAGCACCCTCTTTTTTACACAAAATCTGCCATGGAGAGCAGCATAGCAAGCAAAAACCCCGAGCAGAGTAGAAATCTCAGAACAAAAAACAGTCGGACGTAATTGACTAGGAAAAAAGACAGATGGAACATTACCTGATTGTTTTCAGCATCTTCCATATAGTTTTGTCCGGGAAACTGTCTACTGATGAACCTAGCCATGATATCCATGTGTTTCTTCACCTCCCTTAACTCCTCTTTCAAAGCAGTCGCATCTGCACATGAATGACCAGCCGAACAAGATCCACATGCAGCCCCTCTTGAGCACACTCCAAAATATGTGGTCGGAGTTGGCCCTAACCCCAACCATCGGAGCCTCCCATTAAGCTCCGGGCCCGCTAGCTTCTGAAAAACTTCCTCCCTAGGGCCCTCCATTTCGGCTGCTTTATCCTTTATGAAAAAAAATTTAAAAATGCATAGAAATCATAATGCAGCATAATAAATTAGTAGAATCAAAGAAAAGTAGTGGTCTTACCATGAAATCCTTAGCATAGTCATTAATGTATGTTCCATCATTCCTCTTATGGAGAACTTCAAAAACTTCAAGTCTAGTAAGGGCTCTGCCTAATTTTTCCCTCTGTAAGCATTAACATATTCGAAATTAGTACAACATAGACAAGTTCAACAATTGTCTAGAGCTAAACTGGATTAAATTTTTACCAATTCCTTTCTTATCCTTGCAATACTCCTCCTTCCTGCCGTGTGATGCAGCTTCTTTTTCTTAGTGTTGTCGCAGTTTACTTCACTCATTTTCTGGAAGAGAAAATTAATTTTTCATCATGTTCATCTAAACTAAGACATATTACGCATAATGGTTTCCACTGTTGGTAAACCGTTGGTAACCTTACCTTGCTTTTCTCTGTAAACCATCTAGCTACCAAGGTGTACCATTGATTTACATCTGCAACACCTTGTGGGAGTCCCTCAGTCATAATGCTCTCCACTGTTTTCCCAACTCCAAAGTGCTTGCTCTTTAGATCACACTTGAACTCTGCCCACTTCCGGTTAACAGCTTGCAAAATCCACTTGTCCAGATGGACAGGATACCGAAACTTTAACTACACACAAGAAAACAAAGAAGAAACAAAAACAATTACCAAGTGCAGCATCATGAAAGTACGAAGTGATATATTAGATCCTTAGCTAGCTACTGATAATTAGTTCCCACAACAGATAGTTGAATAACATTTTCATTAGTGTACAGTCCACTAGCTAGGTACTGCCATTGATGTAAATATTCTTGACCAAGCCAGAAAGAAGAGATCTGAGAAATTACTACTGATCAAAACTCACTTGAAAATTAACGAGAGCAAACCAAAGATGAGGAGCAACTATTCTCCACCAGCACAAAACACCATTGATGCCATATGCAGCCTTCTCTCTAATAGAGTAGTAAAGAAGCTTCTCTACATATATGTATATAAGCCGTAGATCTAGCTAGATGGAAACCATAATAATCGCTCTGGATGCTATATATGGGAAATGGAGAAGAGGAAGAAGAAGTGGACTCTTTGGTCTTGTTTTTCTTGGGCTTTTGTTTATCTCAATCTCTGATATGCTGTTAGAGAACACTACTACTAAATAAGAAAGGGTGATGAAGCTCAAAAACTGCAGAAGGCAGAGAAGAGCGGCTCAAAAGGCTTGAGGAGGGTGGAAGTTGGAGAAGGAGAGTGTTTTACCTTGGTGATTTTCAGTATTTGCCGGTGAAATGGTTTGAACTCTCTTCTTTTCCAATGCTCTATCGACAGTGGAGTCAAGGTGTTGTTCTTTGCAATCATCCCAAGAAAGGACGGAAAAAGAGATGACTCACCACCACACGGAACTCCAAATTCGCCAATCTTCAATTCGATCCACTTCTAATATCCATATCCACCGAGTCACGACGAGCATTCAAGTTATCCTTAGATTTACCATCCAAATATAACAAAGTACCAATGACATTGTCACACACCTTTCTTTTTCTTCCCATATGAAAATTCTTTGCTTTCTAGGTACCTCAATACCTCACTTCCCGTCTTTCGTTGTGGTGTTGACCCGAACTCTTCCGTCCCATCAAAATGAGAACTCTGAATCCTAAACGGATGACTTCCATCCAACCAACGGCGATCTGCCATGTAACAAAACTTCCCACTCTTGTCTAGCCATTTTGAACAAGTAGATTCACAACAAACAGGACAACCAAATCTACCATGTGTGCTATATCCAGATAAGTTACCATATGCAGGAAAGTCATTTATGGTCCAGAGCAAAGAAGCACGCATAGTAAAATTCTGCTTAGTGGAATCATCATAAGTAGTCACACCCTCCCAAAGTCGGATCAAGTGTTCAATCATCGGTTCTAAGTAGATATCAATATTATTTTTGGGGCCTTTGGGTCCAAGAATTATCATTGATAATATGAAAGAGGATTGTTTCAAGTACATCCAAGGAGGCATATTATAAGATATCAACACCATAGGCCACGTACTATGGGTTGATCTCATTGATCAATGTGGAGTAAACCCCATCACTGCTTAGAGCCAATCTGATACTGCGTGGATCCGAAGCAAAACTAGGGTGTCTAGCATCCAAAGATTCCAAGCTTCTCCATCAGCCGGATGTCTCAACAATCCATCTTTTTTACGAACTTCATCATGCCACCTCATGTGTTTTGCTGTCTTTTCAGAAGCAAACAATCTTTGTAACCTCGAGATTAAAGGAAAATAATGCAAAACTTTTGTTGCTTTCACCTTGAGTCCATCGATTTTTCCAACAGCATACCTAGATTTACGACAAACATAGCAAGAAACGACATCTTTTACAGAATTCCAATACAAACTGCAATCATTCGGGCATGCTTCAATTCTGACATAATCCAAACCCAACTTCTTAACCACCTTCCTAGCAGCATAATGCGATTTGGTAAGGACATACCTTCCGGAAATGCTTGCAGTAACAACTCAAGTAACATGGTGAAGGATTTTGCAGTCCAACCATTGTGAACCTTGAGGTGATATAAGTGCACCAGAAACGATAGCTTTGAAAATGTCTTGCATCCCGGATATAGCTCCTCATCTGCATATTTTATCAAATCTTCTATTCCACCTGTATTGTACAATGGATCATCCCTTACTTCATCACCATCATTTCTTCATCACTATCTTCCAAGACATTTCCATCTTGTTCACAAGCTGGTTCTTGTTCACTAGGTCTTCACTGTGAAATACATTCCGAAATAGCCCCGCCAAATATGCTCTCATTGTTGGATTTGATTGAATAGGGGTAGATAGCCTCTCCGTCGCGAAAACATTTGCCCATGGCGAGGAAGAAGTAGCAACATCACTAGCTTGAGGTGAACATAAAGCTTCTCCATGAAATACCCATGTAGTATATCCTCTTAGAATACCGTAAAAAATGAGGTGGACCCAAATATCTTCACATGTTTGTGCATATACAGTTACACAATTGATACAAAGACATAATATCTTTGCTCCATGAGTGCATTTCGAAATGCATAATCAAGAAAAAGTTGTACTCCATCTTTATATTCATTGCTAGTTCTATGTTTCTTCATCCAGCTCTTGTCCATTTTGCCGATTATATATATCACTGCAAGTCAAAATTAATAGATTCTATCAATCAAAAGTTGGACTGACATGAACTGAGTTGTTTAGCTCAAGAAGATAGTTTCCCTAATAAAACATCAAATTGCTTCCAGAAGTTTAAGTAAAACAACAATGACCTATAAGGCAAAAAAACCCAAATTGTTGCCTTAATCACATCAATGAACAACGCAGAGCAAGAAAGTTCGAGTTGTCGTCCATAAATACGTTTGAATGAGGCTCATCAAATCATCTTCTCCATAGGTCGCATACTCAACCTTTGCATCAACTTCCCATGAGCGTTGAATTTCTGGAGGAAGAAAAAACCAAACAAACGAACAGCCAACAAAAAATACCCTATAGTCAGAGTAAGCAACAAAGAAGAACGAATTGAAAGCTCGCCTATAACTCTCACGTAGGAGGAGGATGGTGCGAGGAAGTATAAAAAAAACAACGACGTCACCACCCAAAACCAGATTCTGCCGAGGACAAGCCCGAGTGAGGCGCCGAAAACTCCTAGACCCACGACGAAAATTGAACCGATTCGCCCAAATCTGAAAATGGGTAGTCGAAGAACACGAGTGCTGAGTCAGCGAAGTGATGATGGGCGATGTATTCGGATGATCCGATCTAACTCCGACTGTTGATTCTCTGATCTCACTCCGGAAGAATCGACAAAAGGGAACAAGAGTTTCTCGTATCGTGCAATGGAACAGGGGGCTGGAATTTGTTTTAAGTTCTAGCAAGGGTTCTGGACCTTTGAAAATAATCGTTGCTACCAAAAAAATGAAAAATGAGAAAGGGGAAACATGGATGTTTTGCGTTTCGGCGAAATTTGGTTTAAGAGTAACAAGGGTTCTAGAACCCTTGAAAAGAAGCGCTGCTACAAAAAATTCCGAAAAAATTAGGAAGGGTTCCAGAACCCTTGCTACAAAACCCTTGGCATAAGTCCATTTTTTTGTAGTGCGCACCCAATCATTATCATCTCCTTTTGACGTTGTGCATCTTAGCTCCATCAAATACTCCCCGAATCTACATTTGTGTCACCTTTACATTACACCCTCGTCGCCACTATATTGCTTTCACCCACACCACCAAACATTAAATCATCCTGCCTACATCCCTTCGTCTCTTAAGTCCATTGATTTTTAAATACATGACCAGGGGCCCATATTATTTACAGTCCTTTGGACCTACGTCTTTCATGAATTCATCTTGTGCATACTTGTCGTAGTATTGCTCCTATGCATACCACGTCTTATGTCTCGAGTCTTTCTATAATTTTGTATGCATAAATGATAGAGTTAGGCTAATGTTATGTGGATGTTTGGTTGAGTAGAGTCACATTCATGGGTCGATATGATTCTACGCTTAATGTTTTGTGCATATGATGACTCGTAAAAAGTACAATTTTGAGACCCCATTATTATTGCCAAAACAACATGAATCTCACATTTCTAGTTTCATAATCACTTGTACATGCTCAATAATCAATAAAGATAAAGAGTGTAGCTTTAAGATTGCTTTCACCATTTAGATATGCCATTTGGAAGTATTCTGTGCAATTTCAGGCCACATCATCTTCGAGAGCCACCTCACCCTAATTAGAGACTTCGAAAAGTAGCATAGTAGCATAATTAGAGACTTTGAGAGCCACCTCACCCGCGTCTCTCCTCACCCAACTCTTCAAAAATAAAATCGTCGAAGAAGGAGGGATGGAGGCCGCCGCGCCGCCGCCCTGAATCTCTTCCCCCAATCTCTTCCTCCCGCGGTCGATGGTGATGCTCGACAGGGAAAGGGTAGAAGCTCAGGTTAATTGGCGTCGCGCGGCTCCGCCTGTGGGCATTGACTCCAACGAGGACCGCGTCGAAAGAAGCCGAGAAAAGCAGGCAAAAGACGAGTAGAACGGCTCCGAATTTCGTACACACCATGTCAAAACTTCTTCTATCTCCCCCCTTGGTTGTTGGTTATCGAGAAAGTAAATCCTACATTAAGAAGAAGTAGAGAGAAGAAAAAGGAAGGAGACCCAAAAACAGGAAATGGAAATCGAAGGGCAGGGAAGGGAAGAGAATTGCGTTGTTGTGGAAACGAAGGAGAAGTGCGAGAAGCTAACTAGGAGAAGACGGAAGTTAAAAAAATGGAGTGGAACTGGAGCACAGGCAAGAGAAGTGAAGGAAGAGGAAATTGGGAAGGTACGAGTCTTTGAGCAAGCAGGAGGAAGAAAAAGAAGAAGAAGCAAGGAAGGGGAGGGAGAAGGCAGATGATGATAAACTTTTGGGGAGGGTCGTGATTTTTACCCGCGGTCGATGGTGATGCTCGACAGGGAAGAGATTGGGGGGAAGAGATTGGCTTTCCTGTTTTGATTTATTTTTAAGGGGGGTTGGTCTCGGGTTTGGGGTTGGGTCAAGAATTGGGTTGGTTCGCGGGTTGGGCAAGTAGGACTGACATGGCGGGTAAATATGATGTGGCGGGTCGGGTCTATCTTTTTTTAGTGTTAAAAAATGCTGACTGTGATTTTCTGTTAGCCACGTCATCACTTAACGGTCGTCATTAACGGAGTCTAACGGAGGTTAACGGAGAGTGACCGAACTTGGACTGTTCAACTAATTTAAGTGACTATAAATGGAATAAATCAATTTGAGTGGCAAACGTGAAACTTTGTAGCAATTCGAGTGACCAAACTTGCAATTGAGCCGTCAGTAAATACTCTATTTAATACACATATATGTACCCGTACGTACTTTATCCGTTTAAAACTTTCGTATACGTATTATTTTTGTTTGAGCCTAGAATGTACTAGGCGTTTATGGGGCTCCGATCTGGACTCCCTCATCTGATCTCCTCGGGAGTGGAAGAACCTGTGAGGCGGGGGGCGGCCCCCGGGATCTACGCTCCGACGCCCAAGTTAGTACGATATAGGAAGCGGTTTATGGTATATAGAGAGAGAGTTTAGAGAGAGAACTTAGGGTAAGAGTGTGGGAAGGGAAGAGAGGATCCTTTAGTTTGGAGGGTTAGGCCTCCTTATATAGGGTTTGGGCTTCCTTGAGTGGGCTTGGGCCCAGGACGCCTTGCGGTGGGCTTGGGCCCGTTTATAGTCGTGTAGGCATATTAATCCATACCCAACAATTGCCCCTTTACTTCTTGTATTCTGTAAGAATGAAAGGAGTAATATAATGCGTTAATCGTGTATTAATTTGCCTTACTTGCAAATCCGTATGATGCGGTTTGCCCCTAGTGCGAGTTGCGTGATCATTTCCTCTGCCCCTTGCTTATCTTTCGATGTCTTGAACTAAAGCTCTCAAGTCGTTAAGAGTTCCTTCGCTAGTCCATTGTTGTTAGCGCTAGTAGACCATAATTGCGACCTAGGTAGGGTGGCCCCCACGGCTTGAGAGTTTTAACTCAAGACGCTCTTGTTTAGTGTTTCTTCGGCTCACTGGGGTGTGCTTCTGCTTCTGGAGAAGCGCAGCGCTCCTTCGCTTCCAAGGAGGCGCATTAGTCCTTCGGCTTCCTGGGAAGCGCTTTAGTCTTCGATTTCCTGGAAAGCGCATTAGTCATTGGCTTTATGGGAAGTGAAGTCTCCGACTTCCTGGGAAGCAAATCTCTCCTTTGGCTTTCTGGGAAGCACATGCTCCTTCACTTCCTGAGAAGCGCATCACTCCTCGGCTTCGTGGGAAGCGCATTGCTCCTTCGCTTCTTGGGAAGTGCATCGCTCCTTCGCTTCCTGAGAAGCGCATTGCTCCTTCGTTTCCTGGGAAGCACATTTCTCCTTCGCATCCTGAGAAGCGCATTGCTCCCTCGGCTTCCTGGGAAGCGCGTCGCTCCTTCCCTTCCTGAGAAGCGCATTGCTCTTCCGCTTCCTGGGAAGCGCATCGTTTCTTCGCTTCCTGGGAAGCGCATTGCTCTTCGGTTTCCTGGGAAGCGCATCGCTCCTTCGCTTCCTGGGAAGCGCTTTGCACCTTAGTCTTTCATCCTATGAGAGGCGCTCCGCCTTCTTGCCTGATGGGAGGCACTCCGTCTCTAGCCCGCCGAGCGATGCTCGAGCCTTGCCCAGAGGCGGACCGCTCGAAGGAGGGAAGAATTCCCCGGAGGGAGCATCGCTCGGAGGCGGAGTCTTCGAGCCTAACCCGGAGGTCGGAGGCGTGAGTCATTCCCCAGAGGGAGGACCGCTCGGAGGCGGGAAGAATTCCCCGGAGGGAGCATCGCTCAGAGGCGGAGTCTTCGAGCCTAACCCGGAGGTCGGAGGCGGGAAGCATTCCCCGGAGGGAGCATCGCTCGGTGGCGGTAAGCATTCTCCGGAGAGAGCATCGCTCGGAGGCGGGAATCTTCGTGCCTAGCCTGGAGGCTTGAGGCGTGATTCTTCGAGTATCTGAGAAAGATGCAAGTATCTAGGGTGCCATATATTTAATGTTTGAATATAGCATAGAGAGCGCCTAGCATAATAGTAATTAACTGCTTTGCATAAGATATATCTCTGTAAAAGCAACTTAGCTTTGGAGAAGTTGGAGGGCGGTTAAGTATTGACCGCTGCATGTTTGATCAACTCTGTGTCCATGTAGTATACTGGTTGGCGCTGCTGCCCATGAAGGAATGGTCTGCGGTTCGAAGGTTGGTGGATGCGCCTGCTGATCTTTTTTCAATAAAGCGTGTGTGGGCCGCCTAGGCGAGCCGGGCCTCAGTGGGCCTATCATTGAAGCTTTGTTGGCGGTCAAACATCGAAAACGGGCCTTTATAGAGCTGTCGGAGACTTGGTGGGCTTTGCGGTTTCTTGATGTAGCGATCCGGGGCGGGTTGAGAATTTGGAGGGGCGGCCCATTCTACGCGGGTGGTGAAGATGAAGACTGAACCGTTCCTAATAGTTGTTTGCTTTGGTGGAAGCGGCTCACGACAAAATAGAGAATGAAGCGGTCTTGATATAGAAGATGCTCTTGTAGTCTGCTGGTATGTGGACCTTGATTCAAAAGTATAATGCTTTTTGGTCACGGTTCGAAACTTGGAGAACGCATTTCTTTCAATATTTTTGGGGTGAGGCGGTCTTATGGTGGATTCCTCATAGGGATGGGGGCCAAGTTGCGGTTGGCGGGTTGTGATGCGGGCCCATGTGCCTTATGGCGGCCCACATTGTGACTGTTGGCTTGCGGAAGCGGTTACTGTGGAGAGCGGTTAACTGTGGGTTGCTGCGTTCTTCATTAACTCTACATCCTTGTAGTCTACTGGTTGGGCTGTCTACGTGTGAATGAGAGGTTGTTGGTTCGAAGCATTGCGCAGGCGGTTCTCTACTTTTTTGCTGAACGTGTCTCGTCTTTCTTTGGGCGGTCCAGATGGATAAATATCTGGCGTCGCAAGATATTAGCACATATATCCTTGTAGCATACTGGTGGGTGTATTTCCAAGTCAATGGAAGGTCGGCTGTTCGAAGGTGGGCGGAGGCGGCTATCTTATTTTTTTAATTGGAGTCCTGGTTGGGCTGTCTGAAGCTGCTGGTGTTGGGACGGGCTTGGCTGAATGAAGGCGGCCCATTTGGCAATCTTTGATGAACGCGGAGATGGGCTGGAGGCGGTCCATGTAGGTCGCGGAGATGAGCTTGATTGGAGGTGTCGGACTTTAAGCGTTGGGGGCGTTTGTGTGGTAGAATCAAACTAGTGTGGGCCCCGGCCAGTTGGCCGGAGGAAGGTAGGATGGCAATGGGTCGGGTTGGGTCGGGTTTTGCCAAATTCAAATCTAAATTCATGGGTTTATCCGTGAAAAAAATTCGGGGTAAAATCTACTGGGTTTGAAAAACTCAAACCCAACTCAACCCCCTGGGTATCCGCGGGTTCATGGTTACCCACAGGTTTTTGTCTTAAAAAATTTACAATAACAAGTTGCTATCAAAATTAAAGTCAAATATCAATCTCTCAATACAAATTATCCATATATAAAATACAATTCTAGAAAATTCAAGCAAATAACAAATTATCCATAAATAACATGATTAATTGAAAGTTGCTATCAAAATTAAAGTCAAATATCAATCTCTCAATACAAATTATCCATATATAAAATACCATTCTAGAAAATTCAAGCAAATAACAAATTATCCATAAATAACATGATTAATTGAAAGCTTCTTCCTTTCAATTAAGTTCTTCACTCTCCACTCGATAACATCAACTTCATTCTACACTATTAGAAAGAAAAAATTAGACATGTCTCCACAAACATAAATAAGATAAGTTGTTTAGAATATTAAATATATCGAGAAAATTAATTATATGGGTGTGGGCGGGTACCCATGGGTCGGGTTTACCTAAACCCAAACCCAACCCAACCCGATGAATATTGAACGGGTTTAAACCCAAACCCGGCCCAAAACCCGTCAACACGGATTTTACCCGCGTTGACCGAGTTGGGTAGGGTGGGTACCCGTGGGTTCGGATTTTGTTTTCATCCCTAGAGTAAGGTGAGGTATGAAATTTGATAATGTAATGGGGTGTATAACTTATTGTTGTATAGTTTTTTTGGGAAACACGTGATAAAAATAGTGAATTTTAGCAGGAAAGAGACATTAATGATGCAACAAATCAAAAATCGGCCTTATGTACCAAAATCAAGTACCTGTTACCTTGTGAAACAATATTGTTTCTGGTAATATGATGAGGTGGAGTAAGTTTTATAGAAACTGAATTCCAGAAAATCGAATAAAAAATAGCCTATCCCGTCGGTTTTCGGGAAATGAGCATCTCACAATAGTTGCTAGCTTTTACTCGGCCCGTTGGCCGATTAATTTGGTTTATAAAACTTTCATCTTGTCATCATTGTGCTTTCTGGTTTTTTTCAGGCTATGATAAAATCTAAGGAAATAAAGAACGAACAACACGATTTGGGATAGGAACCGTCGTTGTCGTATCCCTAGAAAATGGTGGTAAACACGGACTCACCTGCCAAACTGGTC